ATAACTGTCGGCATGATCATGTCCCTCCCCAGGCGAACCTGACCCGTTTGAGTTATGCGCACTGGAATTTGACCCGGCATACTGGCGCTCTTCTGGATCAACCCGTCCGTCAAGCGCACCTCGAAGAGCTTGACCTCGCAGTTGGGGCATGTCTTGGAGTTGTGTCCGTTGTGGCTGCAATGCGAGCAGCGCCGGCTCATTTTTGGGTCCGGGCTCGGCAGATCGAGGAAGGGGCAAAGGGGTGAGAGAGAAGAAGGGAGGAAGAAGAATAATAATAATAATATCATAATTTATGTGGGTTTTTATTTAAATAAAGAAAAAATGCCACATGTGAAAACAAAAATGCCATCTCGTCAAATAACGTTACCTGGATTTTCCATGTAATTATTAATTTTTTTAAAATGTAATTTTGTGGCAAGATAACGTGCCACTTGTTATTTAACTGACGGAAGGACCATTTTGGTACTGAAAATGAAAGTTTGAGGATAATTTTGGTACTTTTTAAAGATGAGGGACAATTTTGGTACCAAAGTGGATAGTTGAGGGACCAAAATGGTACTTAAACCTAAATAAAATTTCTATATTTATAAAATATAAATGCTACTAATATATTTTTAATATTAATAAAGAAATAGATACTTATATTTTACTGTAAAAAAAATGACATACTACATTTAAATTTTATAAATTAGATAATAAACATAAAAATTAATGATAACAATTATCTTGACTGACTTTTCATTAAAAATAAAAAGAATATTTTCTTTAAAAGAGCATTGTTTCTCTTTTTTCTTTTTTCTTTTTTGCCATTTTTATAGAACTTCAATTCATTTTTAATTTAATTATGTTAAAATTGATGTTAACAAATGGAATTTTTATATTTATTATCTAGTAATGAAATACCTAGTAACTTAGTATCAAGAAAAATCAAACACAGTAAACGGCAAACCAGCAAATAGCCAATTGCTATGCATAATGGACCATCTTATAGGAAGGGCTAAAATTTATTTTTACAGACTTTGAAATATTTAAGACTTGCAGAACAACCAAGTCATGAGAACTCAATACAATTTCTTTTACAGATTACTGTAGAAAAAAAGGCATAATCATGTATTTACAATACATCATTTGGTTGAGGATATAATGAACCATTATCAATAGGCAATGAAAGTGGAGTTCCAGGTGGTATACATGCAGTGCCATTCTCTCCAGCACATATGCACAAAGCTTCTGCATCCCGGAGGATTGCATCCAGGTCAATATGATCGCTCAACTCATTAATGAATTTCAAAAGGGTGTCGAAGTCCATTTGCTCTCCCATTATCTTGCTGCGATGGCGCTTCAAAATTGCAACACACACATAAAGGTGCAGGTGCTCTGACAGATAATGTGTCCATAAGACTTCCCACAATCGCATTATCATTTCATATTCAAATTTCCTGAGAAAAATGCATCAGAACAAGAAAAGTCAACTTGTGCATCTCTCAGATGATGTATCAGTCCATCAAAAAGAACAGAATTTATTGAAAAAAAAGGGGTTGGGATCACACAACTACATGCATCAAAGTTAAGGCCAAGACTAGGATATTATAGCATTATACGAAAAAGAATTAAGGAACGTTACTCGGGATATTATAACATTATATATTCAGGCATTAGAAAAATATAAACTTGACAATATTAATAATAGTAACATTAACAATCTTAACACATACTTAGAAGGTGGCAATATAAGAACAAATAAAAACGAAAATAAGACTACACTATATAGAAAAACAATCAAATTGCAGTATGCAAGTGACTAATAAAAATTTTTCTTTAAACAAATAAAAATTCCCAAGAAATTAAAGCAGAGCATTAATAAACAGTTAATTTCCTTTTTCCACGTGTCCTTGAGACAATTCCTTTTTTCTTGGCAAAAATCACAAATTTTTTAGACAGTTCAAGTTTGATATATTAGTCATCAAATCAATTATGCATCAAATGTACTTGGTGGGGTTGTGTTAAGCTATAAAGCACTCATTATTATAGTTATCATTCACAAGACAAAGTAGCATATAGCAGCCAAAAGAAGAAAGCAAAAAATAAGAAGCAATCATTGATGTGGAAGTCCAAAGAATCCTGAAAATGCGCTCATCATCAACAACCAGAATGGCATTGTCCAAAACCACTTATTAACCTAATGGAAAATGGTCCACCAACAAAATAATTAATCATTTCAAGGTACTTCTCCAATAAACAATATCTTGGTATGGTAAACCTTATTCTAACCTTTTTCTTTATATGTGTCACGCCCCAAAACCCGAATTCGGGGCGCGGCAGACGCCGTGCACTCGTGAGTGGGTCCCACAAATGCACAAGGCTCGGAACTTATCCGATTCACATCTGATACCACAAAAATCTGAAGATCAAATTTTGAAACTTCTCTGATATCATAAAATCTCCAATCACAATCTAGCTTACAATATCATGATCTATATC